GATGTGGTATCGGTGGCCGTCGACATGTGGTTGGAATAGTCAAGAGGTGGACAAGTGTCCTGCACATTGACATCAGTACTGGGAAGATCGAATTCATCCGGGGAATATCGTGCAATACGTCTCGAACGTATCGACGACGCAGCTGATTGGCATGTCGGCGCCAAGAATCTCCAGAGGAAGCTCAACCTCACACAGAGACTTTCCAAGTAGCTTGGAAATTCGCCCTTCGACCCCAGGCTGGTTTGTTCGGCTTTCGATAGTCGCGAACCCAAACCGTGGCGTCGATCTCAAACGATCTCTTGCGAGCACCGTGACGCCGGTTGTATTGCTCAACCATCGTCGTCTTCTCCTCTTTTTTGAAGAACGACTTGGACATTGCCGTTGCTCGATGGAAGAGCCAAACGCGCAATAGGAGTAACAAGCTTTCTCCCGATAAACAATTCAGCCGGAGAGAACTGTTGGGCGAAGAGGGCATGGAGTGGCCCGATACGTTCGCAAAAGACTTGCAAACGTTTCCCGCATTCGTCGAACCAGCGGCTTTGCTCAGTGCACGCTTAAAGGTATCGACGAAGCGTTCTGCCAAACCGTTCGACTGAGGGTGGAACGGAGGCGTACGTACATGCTTTATGCCACGCTCCATACAGAACTCTTCGAACTCCTTCGAGGTGAATTGGGTCCCATTATCCGGAAACAAGCGTTTCCGGATCTCCGGAACCTTGAGAAGATGTCTCTCAACTGGGCAATCGTCGTACGACTGGTGGCGACCTTACAATCGTGGATCTCTGGCCAACGAGAGAAGCATCAACGAATACCAGGTACATTCTCCCGTCAATGGGACCTGCGTAGTCAACATAATGTACGCGTTCCATCGGACGATTGGGAATAGGCCAGGGGTCAATTCACTTTTTACAGGCATCTTCTGCGCTTTCTGGCAGCCCTCGCATTCTCGGACGATGCGGTCGATGTCAGACCTCTTGCCGATCCAATAGACATATTGTTTTGCAAAGGAGTTTCATTCTGGTCTGGCCAGGATGTCCTTCGTGAGCATTTTCGGGACTCGCGATTGAAGTCGGCTTCGGGACGACAACTCGCTCTTTCAGGAATAGGCAACCCTTGTGAATTGATAAGTTGGAAACAAGACTTTTGAAGGCGTACAAAGACGAGCCTGGCAAACAGTCTGGGAAGTTTCCACTTTTCAGATGGTCAATCACAGAGCCAAGGTGGTAGTCCTGCTCCGTTTGTGATGCAATTTCCTTGTGCGAAATTGGAACTCGGCTCAGTTTTTCCTCAAAAACTGCTGATACGTCGATTTCTATCTGCGAAATAACGACGTCTTCGTCAGGTTCAGCTTTCGGCGGAATCAGACGGGAAAGCGCATCCGCTTGACCGAACTTGGTCGTGTTACGATATTCGATGGAGAAATCGTAGTTGTTCAACAACAGGCACCACCGCTGCAATCGATTTGCGGTGTGCTGGCGGAATGCCTTTTTCGACCCGTATATTGGCAAAAGGGGCTTGTGGTCCGTCAGGAGCACGAAACGCCTTCCATAGATGTATCGATGGAAGCGCCGAATCGCGAAAATGAGGGCCAAGCCTTCCTTTTCGATCTGGCTGTAGTTCTTCTCTGCCACAGTCAATGCCCTGCTGGCATGCGCGATGGCTTTTTCCGACCCATCCGCAAATCTGTGAGTGATGACCGCCCCAAGACCCTGCTCACTGGCATCAGCGGCGACGACAATGGGTAACTTGGCGTCATAGTGACAGAGCAACAAGTCGGAGATGACAATCTCCTTGAGCGACTGGAAAGCCTTTTCGCAGTCCTCATGCCAGACAAACTTTTTGTCCTTCCTCTTCAACTCGTCAAGCGGGGCGCGCATCTGCCGCATACGAGGAATAAATGACTGGTAAAATGATACCATGCCCAAAAAGCTCTCAACTTCCTTGAGGCAGGTAGGAGATGGCATACTTGCTATCGCAGCCGTGCGTTGGCCATCCGGCCTTCGGCCTTGGGCATCAAGAATGAAGCCAAGATACTTCACCGAAGGCTGGCCGAACGAGCACTTTTCCATTTTGACGCGCAATCCGAACTCTTGGATTCGCTCAAATAAACGACGGACCCTGTCGTCATGCTCCTCCTGGTTCCGGCCGGTGATCAACAGATCATCCAGGTAGGCAGCGGTCCCGTCCAGGCCTGCGATCAAGTTATCCACGATCTTCTGGAATATTCCGGGTGCCGTTTTGACTCCAAATATCAGCCTTTGATATTGGAACAAGCCCTTATGAGTGTGGATTGTCAGGTATTCTTGGCTCTCAGCCTCAACCTCAATCTGTAGGTACGCATCTTTCAGATCAATCTGCGAAAAGATCTGTCCACCATTCAGCTTGGTGAAGATGTCTTCGGCGGTTGGGAGCGGATGATGGTAATCCTCCAACGCCTCGTTCAAGCCTGTGGAGAAGTCACCACAAAGTCTCATGGTACCGTCCTTCTTCTTGACTGGTACGACGGGCGCGGCCCACTGACTGTAAGTGACCGGTTTGAGGACCGTCAACTGTACAAGTCGGTCGATTTCCTTCTCAATGGCAGCTTCCATTGAATACGCGACCCGTCGGAACGGTAGGAAAACTGGCTTTGCATCAGGCTTCAGCTGAAGCTCAGCCTTGGCCATTGCGCACAAGCCCAGTCCATCTTGGAAGACACTTGGGTACTTCAGGACCAGCTCTTTCTCGAGCATTGACTCTTTCAGTGCGACCTTGTTCACGCACAGCTCATCGAAGCACGAAGCGAACTGTGGTAATTGATTTATCCAATCAAGCCCCATCAATCTGATGTTCTTCGTGACAAAGCACTTGCCATGACCGACAATGCCTTTCACTTCGAAATTGGTATCGAAGCTTCCTTGCACTTCAATTGGACCGCCATTTGCAGCTCGTAATTGAATATTGGATGGAATCAGCTGGGGGCAGTTCAATTTGCGCCAAACAGCTTCATCGATGATGGTGACTGCTGCACCAGTGTCCAATTGCAAAGTGAAGCGAACGCCTTCGATTGAGAGCTCGACGTCTTTCCGACTCGAGTCTACGGCATTGATATGAACAACCATGTTCACCTTCGGCTTCCAGTCTTTGGCTTGGTGATTTTTCGACTTTGAAAAATTAGCACCGCGGGTATTGCCAGGGTCTGCGCGACACTCTCTTGCCCAGTGTCCGCTCTTTCCACAACGATTACAGTTGTCATTCCGCTTGTCTCGCGGGGACCGATCATTGGTATCCGGTCGCGACGAGTAACCCTTGCTAGAGGTTGGCTCTCGCTCGCGTTTCCAATTCTTTCGGAAACCCGATTGCTGGTGAACCCGGTTCACGTTGGCATTTTGCATATTCTGCTCAACGACCATATCCATATTCAGGAACTTTGCATATCGCATTCGCGTAGCAAATCGCTCAACTTGACACCATTCTTTGACTCCAGAATGTGCAACAGTCTCTTGCGGATCTCTCGATTTTCCTGATCCGGAAAGTCCAGCAACGAATAAAAGACATTTCGTCTCGTCCTCGTTCATCTCCTTGACACGACCAAGCTCGTACAGCTTGTTGACGCGTGCTGCGTAGGAGTGCATATCCTCGTCGGCTTCTTTGGCCACACGGAATGCCAGAAAACGTCGACTGAACTGCGACATTTTCTCACCGAACATGTCTGTCAGCGACTTGATCATGTCGGGATATTTCACGGCAGACAATTCCGTTGGTCTTTCGTGATCCGCTAGGAGGCTATAGGCTTTGCCATCCAGCATACTGAGAACAAGGTGTTTCTTGTTATCCTCAGTGATGCGCGGTTCCGTGGACACGAGGTTATCAAACCTCTCGAGCCACTTTTCGAACGTAAGACCCTGGGATGGATCATAGTCGAACCGAACGAGTCGTGAGCAAAGGGCGCTCAGCTCGACCGCATCCAGAGGCCTGGGATGGCTTGGACCTGCGGATTTACCCAGAGGGTCTTCGCTAACTGTGCCCATGTGCGTTTGGGTCGCAGCGCGGTAGGCCTCGAGCTGTGCCTCCATCTTCTTCTCACGCTCCTGTCCAGCAGCCATCATCGCCGTCATCTGCTGCATCAGCGCCTTGATCTCGGGGTCGGCCATGTCTTCGAATCCTTGCTCGCCAGTTGTTGTAGTTGTGGGTGAGGTAGACGAAACGGTTTATTCCAGGTAGAGGCAGACCAAGCGGTGGGGGAAAGATACAGAACAATGAGGGGGAGCATCGATAAATGGGGGACAATAGAACCGGAAATGCAGCGTATGCTAATTAGATATTCGGATCTGGGATGTAGTCCTCCAACATCATCAAAAATTAATTAGAAATAATTAATTGATTAAACGTCAATAATTTTAAGCCGGAATCGCGCTCCTCTGGCTCCCCGCTTGGCTATTTTTCGTCACAGATGAGCCGAGTGAAAATCGGTGGACCAAAAAAACCGAGCAACAATATTTGGAGCGGTCGACAAATTCGAAGAAAAATTCGCAGCATTTTGTAAGCGTATTAAATACATAAAACTTCTTATGTTTCCCAGAAAGACACATCATTCCCGTGGCGTCACATCCTCTTCAGCCCCACAACGCAAGCCATTTACGCGGCGAATTTTTCGTTTGGATACTGTGCCGTATGGGTCCAGACGTTTTTACCATTATATTTGAAAGATCAGCTCTACTTGCCGATTCATAAGGTACGCAAAAATTTATTTTAGAGGGTATTATTCTCCTAGAATGGCCTCTACACAATGACGCCATTTATCTCGCAAATTATCTTCAAAAACGTGCTGTCTTGGGTGAGCGATTGGTTGAAGAAGGAGAAGCAGCTAGACCCGACAAAGATGGGGAAGGGTTTTCAGATCTTTAGTAAGTTCAAGAAGCTTTGTTGACGTCATAATGTCTCAAAAAATTTTAGAAGAAAATAAATATCGAAAAACTCGGCTGAAAAAGATTTATTTAGGTGCCCTTGGCGTAAGTGCAAGCCTAATTGGCCTTGTTCATCTACCAAGCTGTGATAGAACGTGGATGGCATTGCCATTGTTAATGCTATACGGTTGGAGCCATACCCTTCCTAATACAGGGTGTTCCAAAAGTTCTGGCAAAATGTTTTTGGTCGTAAAATGGCTCAGAAATCTCGGATGCCAATGAAACTGTTGTACCTTATTAGTTACGATCCACACTTTAATGTGGCAAAATAAGTTTTGAAAAAATTCACTTTTGAATTTGGTAGGGGGTATAATATCTCCGATTCAAAATGGCCACGGCACGGCCCCTTTTGCTGACATATCACTCCGGAGCTTTCCAGCCATGCTTCCGATTCGTATCATATTTGAATAACAGGTAGTCCGACGCACCACCTACGTTATCCATAGTCAGAAAAAAACTTATTACCACGGATGCGCAAGTCAGCGCGCGTTTAATTTCTCGGCAAAAACAGCCTTCGCCCAAAGCCGAGGTTTTGCCAATTTTTCTTGCGACCCAAATTGGTATGCATGAGGGCCGGGCCGCTTACATAAGCCTAGGCATACACATATGGGCTAGTATTCCCATAAAACACCACTTAAAAATTTCCAATTGTTTATCTGATTTTTTTAAATAGCCAAACATTCGATAAACGCACGGCACGCTCCGAATTCTCCAGTTGGGCTTGATTTCTCAAGTGTTTGGGGAAAAATTATTTGTGTATTTGGCATGCTTTTGGTTTTCCCCATTGCCTGGCTTCAGTAGCAAAAGAGACCAACAACTCACGTTTCGATTCTGAAGTGAAATCGCGGTGAAAAGTTAGCCCTTGCTTACAACATAGCTTACAAAAACGGATTGTAAATCGATGCCGTGCTCGTCATTTTATCGATCCAACCTAACTTTTTTTTGGCTAATTCGTTATATTACCGTTAGCCTAACATGACAAATAACCCATAAAGGTGACAGGATCGCAGGCGTGCAAGCCATAGCATTTTGCCGGAACTTTTGGAACACCCTGTATAATCTCTTAAGGCACCGCCTTCTCTGCCTCTATCCCTGGCTCCTTCACCTCGTTGGTTACGATAGCTCCACCCTACACCGGGACAATCTCGTCGATAGCCATGGCATACCTAACTATCGCTGGAATCGGAGTATCGCAGCTTATTACGTTAATTGATTTTATGGTCAGTATTGCTCTAAAGAAGATTCGAATCTTTGATCCTTAAATATCGGGGGGGGAGGAGGCACTTAATGTGAGCATTTCAGAACTGGCCTCACAAATGGACGATAGCGCTTTATACAGGAGCTGTTTTGAACATCTTTTCCTTAGTGATATTTTTGTTATATGGTGAAGGTAAGGTTCTCAAGTTAAATTGGACACTAGATAATTTTGGTAAAAATCCAATCCTGGGCCGAGTCGTCAGCCGTTCGAAGTTATCGCGCAGCTACCGAGCTTCAGGAATTGGCCTAAACCCGATTTTCGCTGAAATTTTTGCTCATTTTTTCAAAATGATCTCGTGTCGATAAATATTAAAACAATTGCGTTAAACTAGTGAAATGACGGATGAAACTTTAAAAATATTGGGTGAGCTAAAAGGGATTCATCGTTTTTTTTGACTGCTAGCGATAAATTCTACGCCTTTCGTTTTTCCCTCCCATTTTTAGCCATTTTCCGAGCCTCCTCAAAATTCTACCACCACCATCCCCTGCTAGGCCCATCCAATTCTCTGGTGCCCAATTATCTTCCGCCAGCCGATGTGGAGCGGCGTGAAAATGGGACCGTCCGCCTCCATTTTTTTTTGAGGATCTCCCCCTTTTTTCGGGGTGAATTTCGTTTACCCAATTACTCGGCGGACACCACCAGATCCGTTTGGCTGGCGCGCCCAATTCAAATTCGTCAATTTTGGCGTGTCATTTGGGTATTTGTGTTAGTTAAAATTAGCATAGAGGAATTTTTGACCATTAGCAAAGGTCGTTCCCTAATCCCATGTAAGGGTAATCTTCGTACGTCCGAACTTCTGACGCTACGTCCGAAAGTTAAGGAGGGTGAACTTCGAGAATTTCAGGCAAATCAGGACGCCATAATCCGCGCAGACGAAAGCCCGAGGGGGCAAAATGCCGACAGGCCAAAAAGCCGACTGATTCTTGACCTTATTTTTAATGCCATGTTCTTATTTCGGGATTTTGGATGTACATAGGCATTTTGACTTGACCGGAACTTGGTTGTCGGGATTTTACCTTTTGGCATTTTGGCTTTTGGGATTTTTGTCGTCGCGATTTTCGCTGTGGGGGTTTTGGCTGTTGAGTTTTTCAATGGTCATTTTCAACTTTTGAAATGTATTAGAGAAATGATCTCCTTCCAAAATTAGGTATTGTCACAAATTTTCAGCAAGTTTGGTCCAGTAACTTTCGAGATAGGTTTTCGATGTCGGCAACTTTAACGGCCCTTTAAACCCCAAAAATCAACTTTTTAAACTTTCAAAACTATATGGCCCCACTAATTCGATCATGCTCTATCCCATGGCGTCAAAAAAACAGGGTCGAAAAAAACTGTGCCAAGCCATAATGGAAACAGTTCGAGTGACTGCCGGACGGCCTTTTAATTATGATGCTTATTATGGTCTTTCCTCAGCTATTCGATTCGATTATTACATTTACTTTACAGATCGAGAGCTATTACAAAAACACGGACATCATACTTTTATCTTATCAAAATTTTTTATCTCGAAAAGCTCCCAAAAACCTCTACCATTTTCATCAGAAATTTTCGATTTTCTTTCTAGAGAGATTTGTAGGTCAAGAAACAGAATCTGCATAACAACAAAAACCCAAATCGCCCCGTTTCTTCACCTCTACGTCACCATGCGACACGGCCGCATCAGGCCCATTACCCCCTTCGCAAAATACGCACCGGCTGGCCCTGATGCTGCCCGGGGTGTGGCCCAAAAATGCATGGGGTGCTTGTGTGGATGTGTGCCTAGGGGGGCCCGAGGGCCATTTAGGGGGGCCCAGGGCCCCTGAAACGGCTGTGGCCGTGGCCCCGTCGTCCCATGGCCGATCGTGAGAGTCTAATGCAATCGTTCCATGCGGCAAAAGTGCCCTCTGGAGGGGGAGGGGGACCTTCCTGCCTCTTTTGCCATCTTGCACGGAGAGAAGCTTAGAATGAAGCCACCTACGCGCCATTCGATTCCGCTTTTGCTGCGGCTCCTCGTTCGCCTTAGCTTTGCTAGTGGACGTGAAAATCGAATTTTTGCGTGCGTTTTTGAAGGTTATATGGCTCATCTAGGTTCTTGGTAAGCAGAATCATTCAAATCAGAATCGTCTAAAAACCTTAACGTTAATGTTTATACCTAAAAATTTGCATAATAAGGTGTCACCCAAGCAATTTTTAAGAATTTTTGAGAGCTTATTAACGCTATATATACTGCATTCCAAGAAAACTTTCTCTTCATCTGGTCTTGCCTAAATTTAAAACGATTTTTATCCCGGGTCATTACAATTTTTGCCAACTTGTAGCTTTCTTGGCCTCAGAATTTTTTTCTAGGCCCGGAAATCCATAGATTTTTTGAGAAAAGGTTTTAAACAATTAAGATTCTTGCTCCCTGTTAGCACGGCTTTCGTCAATTTCACTCTCCCTCTACTTAGACAACACCAAACTTCGATTCCGATCCGAATGCGAAATCGCAAGCTTTGAGATCTTATGGTTTTCTAGCTGTTTTGTCCAATAAAATCAGAAATCAAGGGATATCCAGGCCTGAGCCCTTAGAAACCGAGAATCTCGGCCACCTCCGTCCCCTCCTACCCTCCTGTGAAACGGCCGGAAATCCAATTCCCGAGTCGCTGAAGCCGTTAACCCGCCAGGGGGTGGGGGGCACAGGTTGACGATGCCTTGCCTAGGGACACAGCAATGGCTATTGGCCTCTAAGAGATTGTTGATCCGGCTACATTCGCTTAGTTAAAGGGACTGGGAAGCGCTAGAATCGGCCCTTCCGACAGTACAGGGTGTCCCAAAAAAAAAGACACCGGCCGCATTTCTCTATTTCGGGTCCGATCAACTTGAAATTTTGCACAAAGGTAGCGAAGCCAATTTCCCATGAACACAGAGAGTTTCAGCCCCATTGGTCAGCGGATTTTAAAGTTATAACGAAAATACTTTTTATTTTTTATTTAATATGGGGACTTCTGCAATTTGCATCAAAAATGTGCGTAACTTTGTCATTTACGAGCTGATTTTGCATAATTTTTGCCGAAAAAGGCCATTTGCTGTTTTGCGCTTCGTAAGAACGATTGCGCATGGGAAGTAAAAATGATCCACAAAACCGTCAGTTATAAGAAACCAGCATTGTAACATACGTTCACCGGTTGTTTTAATTTATTGTTCGGCTTACGCATAGATTTAAAACCCTCGATCTGACTTTAAGCATTAATTTCAAGCTGGTCGAACGCTGGGTCGAGTCCAAGGCAGGTCCAACTGACCAAAACTTCAATACAATGTGTTTGAGTGCCCAAAAATTTTTGTTTTTACGGTATTTTGTTTGTCATGCGCAATCGTTCTTACGAAGCGCAAAACAGCAAATGGCCTTTTTCATCAAAAATTATGCAAAATCAGCTCGTAAATGACAAAATTACGCACATTTTTGATGCAAATTGCAGAAGTCCCCATATTAAATAAAAAATAAAAAGTATTTTCATTATAACTTTAAAATCCGCTGACCAATGGGGCTGAAACTTTCTGTGTTCATGGAAAATTGGCTGCGCTACCTTTGTGCAAAATTTCAAGTCGATCGGACCCGAAATAGAGAAATGCGGCCGGTGTCTTTTTTTTTGGGACACCCTGTAGTTTAGCCAGTTACGCGATGCTGCAAAACACAGATCAAGCTGTTCTGTTTTTTTCTGCTAAGGTATCCGATTCGCGGTCTTCAAAGTCAGATACATGAGTGTGTTGGCGAGGAGCGTACTTGTCGAGACCTAGTGGAAGAAATGGGTGGCTTCCCGGACTTCTTGACCCATTTAAAGCTGATTTTTGAAGATTTTTCGCCACATCTTGAGAGAAACCCATAAAGTCCTCTTAAAAGCCAAATCTAGTTTACAAAAACTATAAATGTTGTTGAAACTTACTTGATTTTCCATACGATCAAAATGCGGTTCAATGAACTCGATTTTAATAGCTTTACGAGAAGCCCCTAATATAGGCCCTCGTGGATTAAATGTCTTTTTCCTTTGCTTTGTACCATACACCGCATAATTTGAATAAAATACTTCCTAAAACCTGCAAACCCGATTTCTCGCCCGAATTCTGAACCCATCGGCTCGACCAGCAGCTGCAAAATTCCCGTCGGGGCCTTTGCGTTTTCCAAGACGCCCCTTCCCGGATTTTCCCCCACCCCCGGCCACCAACCAAAGATATTAGTCAGTTTGTGAGCTTTGAGGCCCCTAGGGGGAAAAGCGCAGGGCCGCCGGCAACCCTACTGGATGTGTGTATGTGGGAGGCCCAGGAAGT